ATATATATATATATACAGTAAGGCATTACCTGTATATTGAGTAAGGCAAGTCATGTATGTTCAGTAAGGCAGTACAGGTATATAGAGTAAGGCAGTACATGTTTATTAGGTAAGACAATACATGTATATTAAGTGAGACAGTACATGTATAATGAGTAAGGCACGACATGCATATTTTGAAGGCTCATTGTCATCTACTCTTTTGTGAGCATTATCCTACTTTTGCTGTTTTTCAAATAAAAATGTATCTACACTAGGGAAGGCGCCCCTTGTTTTTGTTTTTTCCTTAGTACATGCATATTGATTAAGTCTGTAAATGTATGTTCAGTAAGGCAGAAAGTGTATATTCAGTAAAGCAGTAGATGCCTGTATGTATTTAGTAAGGCAGCACATGTGTATTTAGTAGGGCAGTATATGTATAATCAGTAAGGCAGTACGTGTATATTTAGTAAGGCAGTCCATGTGTAGTAAGGCAGTATGTGTATGTTCAGTAAGGCAGTCCATGTGTTGTAAGACAGTATGTGTATATTTAGTAAGGCAGTACATGTGTAGTAAGGCAGTACGTGTATATTTAGTAAGGCAGTACATGTGTAGTAAGGCAGTACGTGTATATTTAGTAGGGCAGTATATGTATAATCAGTAAGGCAGTCCATGTATATTTAGTAAGGCAGTCCATGTGTAGTAAGGCAGTATGTGTATGTTCAGTAAGGCAGTCCATGTGTAGTAAGGCAGTCCATGTGTAGTAAGGCAGTACATGTATGTTCAGTAAGGCAGTACATGTATGTTCAGTAAGGCAGTACATGTGTAGTAAGGAAGTACGTGTATGTTCAGTAAGGCAGTCCATGTGTAGTAAGGCAGTACGTGTATGTTCAGTAAGGCAGTCCATGTGTAGTAAGACAGTACGTATATGTTCAGTAAGGCAGTCCATGTGTAGTAAGGCAGTCCATGTATGTTCAGTAAGGCAGTCCATGTTTGGAAGGCAGTATGTGTATGTTCAGTAAGGCAGTCCATGTGTAGTAAGGCAGTACATATATGTTCAGTAAGGCAGTCCATGTGTAGTAAGGCAGTACGTGTATGTTCAGTAAGGCAGTCCATGTGTAGTAAGACAGTACGTGTATATTCAGTATAGCAGTAAATGAATATTTGTAAGGCAGTTCCCAGAGCAGTGAGGAAGTGATGTGGTCTTCCAATGATTTTTATGATAGCTGTCAGGGTCTGTAGTAGAGGAGTACATTAGACCATGTACACATTCACCTCATGTATTCCTTTAGATCCTGCTTTTGAAACACCTGCCTGGCATTGAAGAGTGTATGACTTTGCATTAGCATGGCAATGCACTGGGGGGGCCTGATCTACTATCAGGCCAGGGTGGCACAGAGCCAAGTTTATAAAATAAGTCACATGTTAAAGTAAGAAAAAGCCACTGGATTGGGCTACCATACTTTTTACAATTGGTAAATATGTCTGTAATGGGATAAACCTCCATATAAATCCAAATATACCTCCAATACACCAAATATACCTCCATTACCCAAATATATGTCCAATACACCAAATATACCTCCAATTACCCAAATATACCTCCAATTACACAAATATACCTCTAATAAACCAAACATACCACCAATACACCAAATATACCTCCAATAAACCAAATATACCTCCAATACACCAAATATACCTCCAATACACCAAATATATCCCCAATACACCAAATTAACATCCAATAAACCAAATATACCTCCAGGAAACCAAATATACCTTTAATACCCCAAATATAACCCCAATGCACCAAATATACCTCCAATACACCAAATATAAGCCCAATACACAAAATATACCTCCAAGAAACCAAATATACCCCCAATAAACCAAATATACCCCCAATACACCAAATATACCTCTAATAAACCAAATATACCTCCACTACACCAAATATACATCCAATAAACCAAATATACCTCCAGGAAACCAAATATACTTCCAATACCCCAAATATAACCCCAATGCACCAAAT